CCAGGCCCCCTGGAAATTAATTCTCTTAGGGCCACCCAATGGGCCTATTAACGTGCAGCCCCAGCAGTTCTACCGAGCAGGCCGGGGCCACAAGACATAGTAGCAGGCACCACAGTCCCAGCAGTTCTACCGCACCTGGAGTGGCGGGCCCGGTCGCAGCTGTGACCCCTGTGACTGAGGTAGTTCTGCCACTGACGTTTTCATTTTCATTTTACAAAAAGATAAGATTTTAATAGAAAATTACACTTTTATTAATTAACCTGGTTACACCCCTTTGGCTTTTAAGCAGACAATAAGTCCTGTTACTTCCTGTTTTCATTAGCTCAGGAGAGCTAAACTCAGGAGGCAGCAATTGCCCAGAGTAAGTCTTACAAAAACTTGCCACTGAGCAGCATTGGGAAGTCTGTGATTGGACATCCACCGAAAATCTGGGCAGGGTTAAAAGGGGAGGGTTTGGAAGTTGTAGACAAGGGAACTGCAGTTTTTGCAAACAGTTTTTTAGATACACCACAATAAAAGTGGGTTTGGTTTTATTTTACTGTTTTTGGTATTTGTGCCCTTAAAGTCGATTTTCCTTTATCCACTACTATGCACAATTTACTTGATTAAAATATTCACTTTATTGAATATTTGAAACAAAAATTCACTGCATCACACAGTAAGAAAAAGGGACAGAGACAGATGCATTTCATACTATACCAGCACCTCTGACCTCCTCTTATACAAATTTTATATTAATTTATATCATTTATAGTAATTTATATTGCTTATTTATAGAAATTAGGTTTATAATATGTATGTATATGCATTCTGTAAATGTCCTTTAATATAATCTGCTATATTGTTTTGTGCGTTTTCTGCTTAGTCTATTGAATTTCAACAAATTTCTAATGCAAAGAGCCACACTCCTATTCCCATGAAGACAATATGTTCTGCTGTTAAACAGAAAAATAAGTGTCTATTTATCATCCTCACCTAACGTTCTGTGTGTAGTCAAGTATGCCAATTCCATCCGCAAAACATCAAGGGGTATTGTAATCTAATCCCTAGACTATCAGAAAGATGGTCTTATGTAAATCTGCCTGCACACATCCATTAACCAGTGATAACATAGCCAAGAGAGAGATTTATACTGCAGTTTCATGTTTTCAACATATGGAGCACACTGGGGATGATTATACGGCAGTCAGAGTTTTTTATTTGTTAAAGATTTAGTCACTGTGTTAATGACTCCATCCATCATGATCAATGTGTCTATGATGTGCATGCCAGCTGAGGTTCTGACTGATTTCTGTCTATGATACAAAATTAAAGAAAGCATTTAATATAAGGTAAGGTCATTTACACATATCCTAACTATTCTGGTTAAATTAGACTAAAACAACATGGGTCATATGACCTGGTGTTCTAGAGCAGTGTTCCCCAACCAGTGGCGTACACATAACCCATGGGGTCCAGGTTACATGCCCCCCCTCCCTCCCTCTTCCCCCTGACAGACACCCCCTTACACACACACATACATACAGAGACACACACACAGACAGATACATACAGACACATACATACAAAGACACATACATACAAACAGATAGACAGACACACATACATACAAAGACACATACATACATAAAAACAGACAGGCACACATACATACAGACAGATAGACACAGACACATACAGACAGACACACAAGACACATACAGACAGACATACACTCACACACAAGACATACAGACAGACACACACACACACAAGACATACATACAAAGACACATACATACAAACAGACACACATACATACATACATACATACAGACAGATAGACACAGACACATACATACAAACAAACACACACACACATAATAGTTAAGTCATTCTCCTGTTTCTTACCTTTTAGGTGCAGGAGGGTGACTTTCCCTGGGGATCAGTGGTGA